CGCTACGTGCGGGCAGCACGGTCACGGCCGGCCCTTACCGGCCGTCCGACGACTTCTCTCGATCAACCAAAAATTAAATAACATGAATTAACTTAACATGATCAAACTTGCTGAAATTACTTAAAAACATGAATTTTTGCAGAAGAAGTTGAACATGGTCGTGGCATGCGCACCGTGCGCCGCTGATGCGGAAGTGGCTAGGCAGCTCAAGAACGCCGCCAGTCGGGCCTACCATGCGCGCAAGAGGAAAGCACGAGTGACGGCAGAAATGCGCGCACTGGAGGGTAGTGCGCGCCAAACGGGCGAAGATAACCAGCGCACGGGCGCGCGGGCGGAAGGCGAGGACGTCGGCAAAACACGCGGCCGCAGTAGGCGTGTAGCAAACGCCTATCACGTGCAGACAAAGGGCACGGTGGACGCGGGCGTGGGTGAACAGGATGCGCGGGACGCGGTGCTTGGGAGCGCGCGCGCAAAAGAACCGCGCGACGGGGTAGCACGCACGCGCGAGCCCTCAGTCCTCGAGGAATGCGGACAGCCGGGCGGGGCGCACGCCTGCGTTGAGGCGGCAAGAAACGCCGGATGAGCAACACGCGCGCGAAAGGGGCGGTGCCCTAGTCCGCGAGGACTAGGGCGTGGACGATGGCGGCGACCGACCTAAGGGCGTGCGTGCGCAAGAGCATGGGAGAGAGAGGATTACATGGAGTGCACACCAAGAGATTTAGTTTCCAACTAGCATTATAATTAGGACATTTAATATTTTATTACTTTATTTGATCCCTAGGTAGATTAGACTTAGATATAATTTTGTGCCTATATAAAGGCTCTTTCCCCATGTTATTTGGAATCATTCAATCATCCAAGAAGTTAATAGAAATGTAGAACTTTGTTCTGCCAACTTTGCTTTAGTCTTTTCACCAGAATACTATTGCAATTTTATCGTTTCAATAGGCGCGGTTGTGGCTAGAGAAACACTATCGGCGATTCAAGGCGCGGGTTAGCGGCTTATCAAATCTCACAGAGCTGAGGGGATTTCTAGGACTCACGGGCTACTACAGAAAGTTCGTGAAGGATTATGGAACCATCGCCAAACCACTGATAGAGATGACTAAGAAAGGCGGGTTCAAATGGATCGAAGCTAGCGAGGAGGCATTTGGGAAACTGAAAGAAGCCATGACTACTACGCCAGTACTCGCCATGCCCAGGTTTGATGTCTTGTTCGAGGTACACACCGATGCGAGTGACATTGGAATTGGAGCTGTGCTAGTGCAAGAGGGACGACCCTTAGCTTATCTCAGCAAGGCACTAGGCACTACACGATTGGGTCTATTGGTGTACGTGAAGGAGATGCTAGCAGTTGTCGAGGCTGTAAGGTGCTGGAGGCCTTATCTATTAGGCCGACGTTTTCAGACTGTGACTGACTAGCAACCGCTTAAGCATCTATTGGAGCAAAGGATTGTTACCCCCGAGCAGCAGAAGTTCGTATCTAAGCTTATGGGGTTTGACTTCGAGATAATCTATCGACCGGGTCGACAGAATGCAGTAGCTGACGCACTATCCCGACGAACGGATGTAGCCGAGCTGAATGCTATCATTGGGCCAGCTTGGACTGTTTGGGAGAAAATCAGGAAAGCGCAAGTGGAGGACACCTATTGCCAGGAGATGCGCCAATCGATCGAAGCAGGTAAGACAACTGCTATCGACTACGAGTTGCATAATGGTCTGTTACTACACCGAGGCCGAGTATTCGTTCCCGACAGTGGGCAGTTACGTGAGAGAATCATGCAGTACTTCCACGACTCTGAAATTGGAGGCCACTCGGGTATCTACCGCACGTGGATGAGAATAGCCAACACCTTCTTCTGGCCCGGAAAACAGAGTACCGTCCGAGACTACACAGCACGGTGCGACGATTGCCAGCGCACTAAGTCTGACTCACGATGACCGAGCGGGCTGTTGCAACCTCTACCGGTACCCGAGGCGATCTGGGAAGACATTACTATGGATTTCATTGAGGGACTACCGAATTCTAATGGATTTGACGGTGTTATGGTTGTAGTGGATCGTCTTACGAAGTATGCTCACTTCATACCCATTACCCATCCTTACACCGCGAAGTCGATTGCCAAGTTATTTGTGGAGTACGTGATGAAACTGCACGGAGCACCTCGATCCATCATCTCTGATCGAGACAGGATTTTTATGAGCAGCTTTTGGTCTGAATTCTTCAAGCTGCAAGGGACTAAGTTGTCTATGAGCTCAGCATACCACCCACAGACAGACGGACAAACGGAGGTAACCAACCGAACCCTTGAGCAGTATTTAAGATGCTACGTCCATCAATTCCCGAAGCGGTGGGAAAACTTTTTGCCTTGGGCTGAGTATTGGTACAACACCACTTACCACGAGTCGACCAAGATGACGCCATTTGAGTTGATATACGGGCGAAAACCCCCAACACTGACAAATTATTCGGAGGGGAGTACAGTCAATGACGAGGTTGGTCGAGAACTAGAGGAACGAGATCTAATGTTGCGAGAATTGAAGAAAAATCTCGAAGGCTCAATCAATCAAACCAAAGCCTTCACAGATGGGAAAAGGCGTGAGGAAAATTTTGCACCAGGTGAATATGTCTACCTGAAGCTACGACCATTCAGACAGCGCACAACAGCACAAAGAGCCGCAACTAAACTAGGCGTTCGCTATTACAGGCCTTATCAGATTCTGAAGCGCATTGGTTAGGTAGCATATCGCCTAAAGTTACAAAAAAGTTCGCAAATTCACCCAGTTATCCATGTCTCACAACTCAAGAGGAGTTTGGGAGAAGCACAGAAGTATTGTGAAGAGTTACCAGCAACTGCAACCGATGGTAGGGCCGTAGTACGCCCAAAACGAGCGATTGAGTACCGTAAGGTAAAGAAAGCAGGGCGCTATCGTTGGGAAGTACTAGTTGACTGGTAAGAGTTGCCATCTGAAGAAGCCACGTGGGAAGATCTTGAAGAGATGCGCGATCAGTTCCCGAATTTCATCCTTGAGGACAAGCACTCACTTGAAGGGGACGGGAATGATGCGGAAGTGGCTAGGCAGCTCAAGAACGCTGCCAGTCGGGCCTACTATGCGCACAAGAGGCAAGCACGAGTGACGACAGAAATACGCGCACTGGAGGGTAGTGCGCGCGCGAAGATAACCAGCGCACGGGCGCGCGGGCGGAAGGCGAGGACGTCGGCAAAACACGCGGCCGCAGTACGTGCGCAGCAGACACCTATCACGTGCAGACAAGGGGCACAGTGGATGCGGGCGTGGGTGAACAGGACGCGGTGCTTGGGAGCGCGCGCGCAAAAGAACCGCGCGACGGGGTAGCACGCGTGCGCGAGCCCTCAGTCCTCGAGGAATGTGGACAGCCGGGCGGGGCGCACGCGCGTGTTGAGGTGGCAAAGAACGATGGCGTGCGCAGCACGCCGGATGAGCAACACGCGCGCGAAAGGGGCGGTGCCCTAGTCCGCGAGGACTAGGGCGTGGACTATGGCGGCGACCGACCTAAGGGCGTGCGTGCGCAAGAGTATGGAAGAGAGAGGATTACTTGGAGTGCACACCAAGAGATTTAGTTTCCAACTAGCATTATAATTAGGACATTTAATATTTTATTGCTTTATTTGATCCCTAGGTAGATTAGGCTTAGATATAATTTTGTGCCTATATAAAGGCTCTTCCCCCATGTTATTTGGAATCATTCAATCATCCAAGAAGTTAATAGAAATCTAGAACTTTGTTCTTCCAACTTTGCTTTAGTCTTTTCACCAAAATACTATTGCAATTTTATCGTTTCAATAGGCGCGGTTGTGGCTAGAGAAACACTATCGGTGATTCAAGGCGCGGGTTAGCGGCTTATCGGCAGTCGAAACACACGATCCTCATCAGCCGCCTACGGCGTTAAGCCGTCTCACGACCAAACATTCTTCTCTCTCGGTAGTTAATACACAACCGAACATGAAATACTGATGACTGAATAATTTGACATGAAGTGCTCGAAAGATTACCACTTAACACAATCGACAACCATGCTCGACCTGTGGTGCGCGCTACGTGCGCGACCACGCCCTTTGTCCGAATTACCGAACAAACATGAAAATACTACGAACAATATAAGCTGACTGAACATGATAAATCATGAAATGACTAAATACATGACAAAAGCTCGAGAGATTACACACCAACACATGAACACACTTGCCATGAACTCGCACGGCCGAACGGCTTAAAGCCGTGTCATGAACATGAACAAATCGGAACTAACATGACTTTAACATGAACAAATAAAGGTAAACCGAAGCTACCTTCTTGAACCCTGGCTGATCGCACTAACTACTCGGCTTAACCGGAGCCTCCTTTCGCGGCGTGCGATTACTCTGTGCGGTACTCTCGGCGCTAGGGTGCAGATATGTTATTTACTTAGGGAAAAATTCTCCAATCTCTCTAACTCTCTATACTCTCAATATACGAATATATATGCTGAAGAAAGATGGAAAATTTTTTCCCATTTCCAACCCATAAATAGGGCGGCCGAAGGGACATAGGTGATGAGGAGCCTTGGTGGTTAAAGGAAATTATGCCACTTGTAGTAAGCTTAGGGCATTAGGGATGAATAATCACTCTTAATTAGCTTAGTCACCTAATATGCCCTCCTAATGAGCCACCTCAAACTTCACTTTTTGGAGACAAATTCTCTCATTAATTCCCACTTATTTGCTTACGGCCAAAGCAAAATAAATAGAGAAAAATTAAAGATAATGCTACGGCTTTTTATTGATTAAACATGATCACTACTTAATTAAGCATACTTAAATGCTTAATATTAAATTAGACATGATACTTAATTACCAAAATTATTTCGAACGTAAACGGAACGTCGAAAATAATTTCGAGTAATTTCGACTGAATAAAAATAGTTCCAAAAATAATAATCGACAACGTTATTATATCGGAACTAATACATGATTTATATTAATAATCTGACGGGATATTACAGGAATCATGTTTAATTAAACATTCTATGTTCTATTGTTTTGTATTAAATAGGGTGGGTCGTCATCGGGCGAACCAAAGATCACTCTATCAATTACTCGTGAAACAAGAATAATGGTTCACAACCTAGATGGACATGAACACCCCATCATGAATGGTTATGGTGTCAACGGTATAGTTTGTCTTGACTGATTAGCTGCACTAGTACATTTATGTATTGAACAGAATCTCAGAGAGGATCATTTGGTTTTATATTGATCGTCGTAAACGGACTAGGCCTCGGTTAATTACTGCGTACTCTTAACCCGTAAGATATTAAACAAGCATATATGTGTAGTACTTATTACTTTGATTCACATGGGTGAGGCTTAGTGAACTGAGCCAATAGACGCACTGTCTTGGGTAATATTGTTGCATGTATGATGTGTTGTTAGGATATTTACGGTCATCATGTGAGTTAGTTTGATAATGTCCCCGAGATGAGCTCATGAAGGATTATTATGTTAAATCTGGCCAGTGGAATTTATTCTGACATAA